TATATTATTGTGATATTTTTAAGTGTACACTACCAGTACGATAAAATGGCCGACAGCCAATGAGTGTTAGAGGCGCAAGAAATTTTCGCCATCCAGCGCCTATAATAGTAATCCTGCCCTTTATAATTTGACAATATTATTTTATTTCTAATAACTGTTAATTTGTAATTAAAAAGTAAACAAGTTTTATAGAATCAAAATTACAGTCCGAATCATTTGCTTTTATATTTTTTCTCATAATCAATAAAAATTAAGTGCCAGTTTTACTTTTTAGGTTAGAATTAACTCATGGAAAATTGTTAGTAATTAGATATATTTTAGATGGAAAAGTTATTTGAAAGTTAGACTGGATCTCAGATTTTTAGACAAATTACAGCTATTATGCTATAGCTCTCTCATTTATATTTTTAAGCCATGAGTAAGATGTAGGATGTTTAATTTAAGAGTATTTTTATGAATTTATACTTGTATTGTAAATAAAATAAAAAGTGAATGAACAAATAAATACATTTTTTAACATTTTACCACACATTTCTTAATATGCATTTAGATATATTTATTTTTTATAAACGGTTACTGAAAATAACAACTTATTAAAACTTTTGTTACTGACAAATAAGAATCAAATATCAGTTTAATCATAGTTTTAATATAATTGCCATTAATGATATTAATTAAAAAATGCTATAAATAGTATACTTTATTGTAAGAATTTAAAAATCCATTACACAATAATTTTCCTTTGAATTTTAGGTTAAGGCATGATATTGTCTCATTTTATATCTTTAAGATAAATGTTTCCAATAAAACAATTTCTTTGATAAGATTTCTCTGTGATAAGATTTCTTAATACATCATTTTATTGTTAAGTGTCCAATTTTTGCAAATAAAGTTCTATCAGTATAATTGCCGTCATTTATTAACAGGCGCTAATTCAGCATAAACATTTAAATTATTGTATTGTCATTATCTTAAACAAAGAAATTGATTTTTTCCCTTTCTTTTCACTGTAAGGGAAATTAGAATAACAAATTCTATTTAAATCACATCCAACTTCAATAAGCTTCAAAATTCATTAAAACATCGTAAATTATTAGGTTATTTTTGTAATATATTGTATATATCTCATTCGGAATTGTGTAAGCTTACGTTATGTGGAATTGTGTAAAGAAATGAACAATTTAGTTGGTGTAAAAGACAATTATCTTTTATTTAAATATAAACCAATCTTTTTTTTAAACAATTCAAATGTTAAATACATTCCACTAGAACTTCAGTGCAGTTAAAAAATAATAAAAAAAAAACATTTCGAAATGCTTTGTATGAACGGATTTTCTACGCTTTTGTGACAAAATTAAATGTATTTTTGATATGTTTTGTGAGAAAAGTTTTTGATAATATGGGTTAAGAATTTAATAAATATATTTTAAAACAGTTTTCTAGTTTTATTTCTCTACTACGGGTTTTATTTCTGAAGTTTTGAGAAAATATCAATAGATAGCATATAAACGTCGACTTCAACAGACTTGAACTTGAAACTAAGATCGTGTTATCAACAAACTTATCGTAACGATAAAAAAAGATATAGTTTTTATACATATATATAAAACTATATATATCTTTCATGTTAAAAATATTTAAATACAGCAAACACGAAATAAACTGCGCAAAAGCCAATCTATATACGTGTGTTGTCGAAGGATTTCTTTATAGCTTTATGTTAAAAAATTCTTATATTTTTATACTGCTTTCATGCAAAGCAATTAAAACACATTTCGTACTGTACACATTAACACTTATTTCATAATCTGACTTCACATAACTTAGAAAACTTAAGTAATGATTAAATCGCAGAACATTTGGGCAGACCATCAGTATTCAGCAACTTTCTACCATCATCACTAAATTATAGAAAACAAACGAGTAAAGCCACGTGTTACCAATGTTTATCAGATAAACGTCTCTCTTTGTATCCCTCTTAGTCCTTGGTGCGTCTTCAAATCAATTCATCTACAGCAATCAACCTGTCACCCGGCAATTGGGCAATTTAGCAATCAGCAGGTGGGGCGCGTCCTGTCGCCGGCACAAGATACCCGAGCCCAGGACACGAATATGCTCTAAGCGTCGACACCAGCCATCACCATGATATTCTATTTGCTTATGGCTGTGATAGGTAAGTCTACCTTCATTACTAGTTGATATAAAAAATCCTTGGAAGACGATTAAATGCAGCATTTTAAAAAGATAGAGTGAAATTAAGCATGTTTTGTAAATTATAAATGCGAAAAATTCCTTTCATTTTCGTTTTGCCATTTTTAAATAACAATATAACGGTTAAGCCTAAGCTATATTACATTGTAAAAATATCGTGAATTTCACAGAATAAAATCACGCTTTTTTATATAGCAATGTCATATAATACAAACTACATTTATTTAATTTACTAACATAACCTAAATACATGTAATTTAGCGTAAATGTCTAAGCATTTCCAAGTATCACAACTTCACTATTTTCCTCCTTTCGTCGTTACTGCGTAGTTTATGTGTTGATTTTCCTTTCTTGGTAAAAGAAACCAGTCAAATCTAAGTTCAACTGACACTTTTTTTACTAATAAACCTTGTTCGAATATCGATAGACATTTTTCTTGTCTTTCTAGAGGATAATTAGTGTGCGACTTATCAGTATCAGATTTAATTTATTTACAGTTAAAATGTAGTATTCGAATATAGTAATTCGGTATACTTTGGTTAGCTTTTATTATTTTTGTCCGTTGTCCTTGAATTAAATTAAAAGATATGACTATTAGAGCAATCTGCAGCGAGATACAATGTCACGCCGGATTAGTTAATGAATGAAAATTGCGCGCACGATGCTCGCTACTAAGAAATTACAGCACACAATGCAAATATAACCTCGCTCCGAGATATGCACCAACGCATATAGGAACACCTCATATTATTGCAATTCCTGGATAAACAGAACAACGATATAAATACTTACTTGGCTTTAACTGTTTTTATTTATGATTTTGGAATTTTGCAATGGTTACTTTATAGAAAATTCGATTTTTTATTAAATTCACCTGGAAATTTTACTTTTATGACGGATAAATCGTCGTTACAGGTTACCGAATTTTGGTGTCGACGTATTTACGTAAGTTATTTAATATATCAATAATTAAAGATAAAATAAAATATAAGTAAAGAATTGATACAGTTGTAATTTCAATTACAATTATATGAAATAGTTTTTATAATAGTGAAATTTATTTTAAAATGTTAGGACTGTCCGTAATAATAAAAAAATAATGGTAACAACGTCAATTTGCAAGGAATTTCCGGATGAGATAAGCATCGAAGAGCAAAGAGCGAATGTTTCATATCTTCGTGGCAGCGCGTTTACATTGCCTTTGCCTTTGCTGTCAATGAGTAGCCACAGATAAATAAACTCCAGACGCCTTTGAACTTAACCATTACCACTTAAATACAAATTATAATAATTCAGAATATTTCCTGATTTGATTAGTACGAATTACAGTTGAAAATGCAATTATAGAAGTTATCGTAATAGGCTTGGAGCAATTTCTCAACATATTTTTTTTTCTTAAATAAAATTTTCCCTATAACAGTTTATCAAAAACCTTTTTCATTCCATTCATCAAAATAAATCGTTCGTTAAAATTGTAAAAAAATACCCCACAAACATTCCACCTCAATAACTAATTTTCATAACTACCACAAAACATACATCAAAGAATAATTCCATCTGGACGTCGCTATTACGATCGCCTTAGACTTTGTTTATATTGACTCGAACTAGATTTGCAACTCTCTTTGAAGTCTAAGTCATAAAATCATCAGGTTACTTCTGTTCTGCATTACATTGAGAATTTCATTTGCATTTACCTAAAAGAAATCAAAAAAGTAATGTTACTATTAGTATAGGTTTAAAACTTCTTTAGCCATTAATTGTAATATTAATAAAATACAACTTTTATGAATAAAAACTGTACAGCTGGCGCCATTTTTATATTCTGCGCATTTTATAATCTGTCATGAGTTTCGAACTTGGCCGCAAAGTATTTTGACATAACAAAACGCAGAAATTACTTTCACTGGAAAACTTACTTGTACAACTTTGTTAAGTGGTTTGTTTAATTTAACTAACCGTTTACGTGATTTTAAATCATCGAATTAGGTTTGTGTTATTAATATTTACAGTACGCTTAAATTAAACACAAGATAAAATTGTTTTGTCATGTTTTGTTATGACAGCGTTCGGTGTTGCCAGTAGCACAAATTTAATTCTACTAATTGCTTTATTATTTATATTAGGAAAATTGGTAGTTAACACAATATGTGTATTTGAATAATAATCTTAATACTCATTATCATATTTTGAAACTTTAATAATATAATTAAATATTTTAACGTGGATGTATTTTTTCAGCCGCTCCAATTGCTGCAGAGGAAGAAGTAATGAAGAACCTGACAACAGTGACCTGGGCCCACGCAGTTAACAATAAGACCTATCTAGAAGCTGCTCTAGCTAGTAAGTGGCACAGTATTATGTTTATGGAAACTCTAACCCAATAATAATTTTCTAGACTTCATAAAGAAGGCATACCGTCTCCAAGAATTTCTTTTCTAGTAAGTGGTTTCGAATACAAAATAGCATCATTTTAAATACGCACAAGTCATTGAACGAACATACGAACTGTGTAATGTAAGGAAACAATGTTGTGTTTATAAGCAGGATTGTTCTCAAGTTACATAAGCAAATCGGACCACAGAGTATGTGGTTACAGCTATACAATACGATTGAACGACATTAACATTACCTGCTTCTGTTATTGCCACACAACAAATAGGTTTATTTTTACGGTATTTTATACTATAGCTGATTTATAAATTTACTTTTAACATTTTATCATAAAACCTCTGCTATTTTTCAACATGTCTAGCTTATTTGTTATTCTCGCCTCTGTGAGAGAATGACAAGTGAATGCAAAACAAAACAATGATTTTGAGTTAAACAGTTGACTTCCATCAGACTGTGTCCACTTTCGCCGGTCGAACGCCTCGTTCCCAGAACTGTGAGCAATTAATAACAATTATTGTGACAGATTTAGGCTCCGGGAGTTAAAACTGAACGTAGTTCGAAGCTCGGCCGCAAACGATACGACTTAGAACAATAGATTTACTCAGACCAGGAAGAATATGTAGCAAGATCATTGATCAGGCGAATCTCCTGCAATCCTTATCGACTACTGTTGGCCAATTCATAGAAAACAATATGTTTTAGTAATAATTGACATAACATAAACTTTATGCATAATTCCGTATCACTTAACATTATTTAGTATTTTTTACATTTAAGAAATGTGTAATGCAACATTATTTCGAAGCAATTGTTAATCAGATATTAAAAAAACCTTTCTGAATTTTTCTTTCCGTGTATTTGCACGTTTCAGCAATAGAAAATCTTTCTGATAAGGACGTTATAATCATATGAAATGTTAATAAAATAGGAATATTTTCAGGCGATGTCTCCATGCTAGAAGCAGATATAGTCCTAGGTCACATTACTGGTAAGGATGGACCTGCGATCCCTGTCATGGCGCACCCACCGGCTACCACTTCGGACCTAACTCTGGGCGACTTCCTGACCGCAGTAGCACAGTACAACAACGGCAACCCGAAACAGAAAGGCGTCAAGCTCGATTTCAAGAGTATTGAAGCGTTCGAGAAATCACAGGATCAAATTGCACAGTTCAGTAAGCCAGAGGTACGCATTATTTACAAGAAAAGTATCACTGTTCGTTATTCTTCTGAAAGGGTAAATGAAAATGCAATTTATGTAACAGCCTAATGAAAGATATCCTCTAGCCACGTCTTAAAGATTACGACAAAAGGCCGAAACTAGTAAGGCGTTTAAATAGCTTCAATCAGTAAGATTTTAGTCGAACTTACGTAACTGTGCCATCTTTATCTTCTCTGTAGACAATGGATTGAGTTTTTTTTATCTTAAAACTAGCTGTTCCCGTGCGACTTCATCCGCGTTGAAATATAAAAATTTTGTTTTATTGTTTACATATGTCAAATTATCAATTGCAAATGTCAAAATGACATGACGATGGAAACCTTGCGTCCTTGATGTTGGCAGCAAGTTATGGTCTCTTTCCCACATTAGGGTTTTTATCCAAAATATTTACATCCTAGGTTAAATGGCGTGAAAATATATAGCCTAAAGCGTGACGTAAGTGTAGGGCTTTTTATTTAAAAAAGAATTATTTAAAAACATGCTGTGATTGCTGACATCTTAGGCAACAAAGAAGTGTGTGTTTACGCTTTATTATAATAGTATAGATATAGATATGTTCCCTATAAACATCGCTAAAGGACATCAGTAATAAAAGTAATTTTATGATGGCATTAAACCCAATTACAAACGCATAAAATTTATAGTTCCAATCTTAATTACAATTGTTTAATATCAATCTTTATAACCATTTATTTTATGACATTGACAAGCATGACTAGTTCGTAGTTCTTCATAGCGCTTGAGGTTTTTAGACTGCACTGGACTTTCTAAGAACTTTAATCTACTTTTATCTTGGACACACTTTGATCCTATCTTTTTAATATTATTAAGTAACCAGTAAAAAAAATCAAGATAAATACAAATACAAATACAGATACCTTAACCATTTCAATGCAATTTTTCATTTACTTCTACATTATAATAATTATTGTTAAAAATTTGTTGCATAGACAAGTTCTCCAAATTGTAATAGAAATAACACTTAGATACACATAATTTAAACAATTCACACACTTCGTCATTTCTAAATTAGCGGTTCGGGTAACAAATTCAACCTGAATTATGCCGTAAGACAAACTACCAAAGTACAAAATTATTTAACTAGCAACACAGTGCATTTAATTGTCATTTGTAGTGCTTATTACGAAGTGACAGGAGCTATGTTCGCTTGCCATCTGTCAATGTCGGAACAGGAGTTGCCAGCGGCTGATTTTTATTGCCTAAATGTGCCCAAAGCAATTATTATTTAACGAGCGTAATTCAAAGAGTCATGAATTTTCATAGATATGGTGGCGTCTAGATTGAATGAATAGACGTGAATTGATTTCTTCTTTGATAAGTAACAATGAGAAGAATTTCGTTTTATAAAGTTTTAAACAAATTGACCACGGTCACAAATTATGTAACGACGTAGTTACTATGAATTTGTTCACGTATTTAAAATGTAAACCTAACTAGTTTCTGATAATAGATTTAACGAGAAACGCTAACCAAACTGACCAAACATATCCACGTATTCCAGATTTCCTTCCCCTTATGGCTGAACGCAGACATCTTACCGGGTCCAGTGAACGCTACCACCACCCCTGTAGATTCCTTAAAGTTCCTAACCCTGGGGGCGAAGCACCCGCGCGCCGTGCTCTCCGTGGGCTGGACAACCAACTACGGCGGGAACATCACCGAAGGAGAGTACAGTCGGGATCAGATCGGCACCATGCTGCGTCTCGTCAACGAACACGTCAACCAGACAGTCACATTTCCGGTCA